AATTTTGATTAAGGAGAACGTTTCATAAGCTCACTCTTCGCAATCAAGAAATTGGTTCCATCCCGTCACTAAACTGAACTTTGCTCACATTGCACAACAGGCGTGATTTTTTAAAACTTTTTTTATTACACACCTAAGTGTGATGAACAACAGACGGGGCGCACCCCATAGTCACGAGAACTTGGAGTGACGAACCACATAAGACCCCGATAGGTTAGGCGTGGTATTGAACCAGAAGACAGCAGAGCTGCCTATCACCAAAGTCAGGTGGCGGTGCTCGAAACTCGGAGCATAAATCCAAAGCACGCCAGTGACAGCGACTAAACTACTAAGCCACCACCTAGATAAAGTTTCAACCATGTATCCGACACAGATCTCCATGTACGAGTGCGCCTTCGTGATACTTCCGAATAACCCTATCTGAGTGATTTGGATGACTGGTGGTCACCTTGTCAAAAATTCTTTGAGACAGAGCAGAGAACAGTAAGTGTATCAACGAGGAAACGCCGTCGGTCAATCACAGTCAACCGTAAGTGAGAAGGTCGATGATGGTGAGGTTCAAAAGAATAAACTAAGTACAAAACTAGAGGCTGACTTCCTGTATCAACCAAACAGGGTCGCCTGATTTATTGCTGCCTGTGTGGCGAACAGCAGACGAGGTATATCCCATAGCCGCGAAGACCTGCTGTTCAGTGATGGAAACCTGAGCTTCGGGACTTGATACGGTGAATCATATAAGGCCCCTCTAGGTTAGACCACTCTGACGACCGATAACTAGGTTTAATGTTTCATGGATATTCATTGTATCACAGATCAATACCCCTTGCAGTAACCGATACTAAGCAAGAGATGTTCAAATTAGAAAACAGTGAAACAGCTCTGAGCCAATACAAGTGAATGATTTATGCTTCTTGTTGGTGAATATGCAGCTGTGAAGTTGAACCGGAGAAACATAGACGATCACTGAAGTTCAGTTTGGAAAGGATCAAGGTTAACTCGGATTCAGTGATAACACTGAGATGTGTCTTATGCACGACCGGATTGGAGACTTGAGGCGACATGCCACATGAAGATACACTTTGCACCGGATGGTAGTATAAAATCTTTTCTAGCACAAAGTGCAGGACTTATCCGATTTTGGCCATTGTTTGTTCAATAGATCATCATAATACGTGAATCAAGTTATTCAGGTACCATCTAGAAGAGAGGTGTGAAACATAGAATATCTCTTTCATGTATGTCTGGACGACATGTGGCTTTAAAAAAAGGTGACATGCATTAAAATATAATATTAGGATTCACGAGAACTACTTATTCAGAGAGGTCAATTGATAGAAATCAGAGTCGTGGCAGACAAGGTGTGTCTGTGTGCCAAGGCCTTATTCGACTCGTGTTACATCGTTTTTGATGGCAGCCTCGATAACTGGAGTCGTGAAGACCCAGGGATAACAGATGGAAATTAGTGGCAAGCAGAGACAGCTAATTACTTTTTTATTAACAAAACTGAATGAATGAGTTTCAAGTCGAAATGTACAATTCCTTTCCGGAAACTACAGCCGACGAACATGATCACTGTATCGTTTGGCCTGCGTAAGAAACTTGTCCCAGTCTTTTGAAAGCAGTGGTTGACAGAAATGTGAAACCACCTTAGTGAAGGTCAAACTTTTCGAGTCGATTGGATAGTCATCCCAGGGTAACCCGAAAGTCCGGCATTATTGAACAGGTTTTGGTCGCTTGTGAAGCGGTTTTCAGGGTTGTTACGCGTCGACACATGCGAATCGCCGCGGAGGTTATGTTCCAAGCCCATCACCGCTGTCTTAGTTGCTCCGTTTCTTTGTACAACATGACAGCTCTACGGTTGGTTCCTTCCCCTTCCTGAAAACTATTTTTACAGTCATGTTTAATACATGACTGTAAAAATAAAGTAACAGAACAAAAAAACAAGCAACAAACCAAGTTGCTGTTAACGGCGAGCAATCTGATTTAAGGGCCTGAGGTTTGAAATCTAGTACAACAATCCCACTTTAGCGATAACACCTACCTACTATTGTGACCATATGTAATTTGTTACTCGGACCTTAGGTCACCGGATACCTTAGACTGACGAGACTATGAAGTTTACTTGGTACGTTCCTACACTAAAATGTGTGATCCAAAAGGTGAACAACAATAAGTGTAGATCGCATCTAAATTACAAATAATAGAGAGAAATTGCAATCGACATGCACTGGGGATGATTTCTTTTCATTTTTACTTTCTTTTATAAATACACAATGATACAATTTTCAGGAAGGGGGAAGCGGCCGATCAAAAGGCTGCCATACAACTCACAAATGGGGAAAGTCAGGCGGTGGTGGTGGGATTGGAACACTCGTCCTCCGTGGTGATAACTTGATGACGCCAACACCGGGCCACCATCGCCCAAATGCTCGCAAATCTGCCGAATACATCGAATATGAAACTTAGCTAGTAGTCAGGTCTCACTTTTTAAGAGCATCCCAGTTTGGCACCTATATCGATGATGCATCCGTGTTAGAATGACTCAGTTGCACCGGTAGGAGTAGCCTATGAGGAAAACCAGACATTTCAGTAGTGCAACGACAGTCTCCAAGCTGTGAATGAGTTAAAAATTGTTTCTTTTAGGTTTCCTCGAAGACGGATATACCGCTCCTCAATCAAAAATCGGGTATAGCCTAACTACCGGTGGTAAACAGGGATGGTTTTGTGAGCTCTACAAAACCAAAGAGACGACAGGTGTCATTCCATAATGCTGTGTGCTAAAAGAAACTAGGAAAAAACGATTCTATAATTTGGTCCGCAGTGAGTAAAACCTTCAAACTCTGGGATTTAACCTCGTGCTTTTTGGTTCTTCCTTTACATAGGGGACCGCCGTCCACACGGATCCAGAGAGTGATCGACTCAGTCGCACAAACCATTCTAGAGGAATTGACCGAAGAAACAAAGGCACTCCGCCAACGGGGATGTTGTCAACATACAAGCGCTTTGCAATTACGCTCTAAGCGAGCATTAAGATGCTTCAGATCGAGAAGTGTAGTTCAAACCCTCATTCGGAGCAATGAGCTGAGCACCGCGAGCGGAAGATCCATATGAACAAAGTCAATGACTGCCGCAAAGAGGACTAAAACAGTGAACGGATGCTCATCTAGTCGGAATGCGGACATTGGCCGAGATTGGTCAGCAGAAGGAAAACCAATTTGTGCTGTTGCCCATATAAACATATGTCTCACCCGCTTGCCTTCTGGTTGCAAAATGACCAACGGGTAAAAACATCTAACCATGATGCTTGTTGTCAAAGAAATAACAGTTTTCCTTTCAATATTCAACCTTATAAATATGACTGTGGTCGGACGTAGATTAACTTAGATTAACTTACATGTGCTCCACACCAAGGCACTAGTTGGATGAAACTAAGGTTTTACTACTCAAATGGCCCGAGTCATTGAAAATAATAAATGGAATCCAGAAGTAACTGAAAAAATGAGGTTAGTGAGTGAATTGAGGGTATAATTGGGCAGAAAAACGTCATTCCCCTTCCCACCAGACACACACACAGGTGCGTCAATTTTTGGTATTCAAAAGAATTTCTTGAAGTGAATGAAGTGTCGCAATTTGTCAGCGTGTCGCTTATCGACAATTGCGTTTTTTCCAAGATTCTCGTGGGAGCAGTAGTGTGGGCTTTCTCTATGCTTATCTTACTCCAGGCCCTCAACTACATTGAGCTTAAAAAATACTATTTTAGTTGAGAACAATACTTGAAAGATAAACTGTTTTGAGTGCAAAATCAACACGGCGAAGAAGAAATGCAATAGCTGAAAATCATCTAACACTACTGAAATTCGGTTGTCGAAAAACCTCATCAAACACTCTATTCGACTTGATTCAAACGAACGCCGTGTCCCTTTTTGACTCTCTGTATTGGCAGTCCTCAAGTGATCCCTAGTCAAGGAAAACACGACTGCTATGGACACACGATAAGGAATGCTCAAGGAACCGCGGACAGAAGGAATCTCAGGGGAAGACACAGTCTGAAGACATGCATAACAGGGGTGGTACAGTACGTTGGATGATACAGGTGCTAAGAATTGAATCAATCGAACAATCTATAAAATATTTTAAATCTTTGATGCAAGGTGATACTGGAACGTTACTCAACGAGGAATTGATGGTGTCGGCCATCAACCTCGGGAACAACCAACTGCATATGGGAAAGTGGTTGAATTAAGACCGGAGGGGGAGTTTCAAAAGCTGTGCCACAGTGACTGATCTTGAGTTGAAATGTATATCCCGAAGAACCAGGCGTGAAACACCATAATGAAGTTAATGCAGGCGCATCAGCTAGTAACAAGGATAGAACTGAATTTATCACCAAGTGTTCAGGAAAACGTTGGTAAGATGCTATGGAATAATATCTAATGGGAGAACGAGCATCCTCTATGCGTAGGCAGTACCATCAACGTACAGCCTTAAAAAGTTTTAGATCACATCAAGGTGTCAATTTCTCTATCACAGATAGAATAAGTGCATCACACTGCGTAAAAGTGGGCAGGTATCATGTGACCTCTTCCGATAAAAGCACGTGAGTTGAGATAAACAGTCCCATGCACAAAGTGAGTTAGGGATGCTGGATACTAGACATTTCAAACAACTGGTGTGGACGCTTGACCAGGATAGAATGGATGCAACGATTCGAGCGTATAAGCACCCTTGCTTCCCTTGCCAAACGTGTTCAGCACCAAAGACAGTGGGCCAGTCCAATAGTGAACAATTCGACCCCACAGGCTGAGGGGTGAACAGCATTTGTACGTCCCTTCTGGGACTTGTCCAAACATGTTTCCGTTCAAGCAGCAACAATAAACAGATCTCATCGAAAGGATTTCAGTGTAAAATACAATTTCGTTTTGGCACATTCAATCACGAAGGCTAAAAAATAATATTAAATTGTTGGTTTGATCGAAGGCGGCAAATTGCCAGAGGCACACTCATTCGGTACGGTCGATACAAAAGAATGTAAGAACTTACCACAGCATAAGTCACGTCTGAGGCAAGCACGCACCAGTCGAATGGTGTCGTATGGTTGGCGACACATATTGTGTTCGGTTTCGGTCGATTCTCCCTGTGTGTGTAATGCAGAAGTGAAACCAAAAATAATAATCTGGATAAGTGAGTACGGACAAGATAAACAAACAGTACTCGGATTGAAATAAGTGAAGAGGAATGCCGACGTTCTGTTTGCATTGAACTGATATTTTATCACTGCTTAATAGATTTGTCAATAGATGTTTGTCACGTGAAGAAGAAAAAACAACCGTTTGGAAGAATATCGATTAGAACGCAAATAGCTGACCAGACGAATGGCATTGAGATGGATCGTTGTTTTGTCTGGCGCGTATGTCTGAGTCAATTTATCTACCATTGCAACTCAGCTCAATGACTATCTCTACCAAGTAACGGATCGATCACGGGATATCCACTGTACTGAAGCGAAATGCATGCTTGATAATTTAGTGAACTCTTTCAAGACATACATCCCTCAGTAGTCCACGTACAGAGTGCCATTACACAGAGATATGCGTTTTCATGACCCTTGGAGTAGATTTACAAACACCGCCGAGAAAGGGACATTTATAAAAACTTACAGAGACAAAATAAATAGCATAAAGGAATGGTGAAAACAACCACGCTTCAGTTGATTTCTGTACGCGTTATTTGAGCAGTTGCGGTTTTACAGTGAGCGAAAGAACATTGATATCACCGAAGTCTACTCACGACTGCATTGTGCAACCTCCGCTGCCCCAGTGTGAGAAACTCTCCGCAAAACCCATCAATCTTTAACAACATGTTGTTGCACATTTCCAAAGTTAGTTTCTTACGTCCGGGCCTGGTATTTGAAGCACCTACCGAAATTATCATCGACCAGTGACAGTTAAAGCGTGCGACCTACTTACCTTTTGCACTTTCAGGTGAATTTCTCCTACAGGGGAGTAGGTCCGCTTAAATGCGTCAGTTGCGAAAAAAATTAGAAGCGTGATAAAAAGTGCATCATCTTTTCCGGGAAATTTAAAATCCTTATGCATAGCCGAAGGGGTGATGATGATGATGATGCGCTGTTTTAGAAACCGACTGGATTCAAGTACTTCACGAAGCTTTTTATGGACATTTATGGCTTTTTGCTGCGGTGTTCTTATCGGGTGAAAAGGACACCAGGTACTCTCGGATGGCGCACCAACGGAGTAGCACGAAAGTTATGTTTTGATGATGATTAAAATAAAAATAATCTGGTGGAGATCTAAACAGTGCCCAGTTACCTTTATGAAAACGGTGACTATCATCGATTTGCCTTATGATGATAAGACACCTCCACAGAACAAATCTCGTTATGCAGAACAGCAAATGAGTCCATCATGAAGCAACTCTTCAACGCGGGGGAAATGGGAAAAACCCGTCAGGTCAGACTGTTTTTCTCCTCTTAATCGCATGGATATAAAAACTCATTTTTAAATCCAAATATATATATCACAAAAAGTAAAATACAAAACAAAGAGTCTAAATTTGAGAGCTGAAGATGACAGTCAGCACATACTAATCCCAATACGTCTAGGCATTACGCAGGACAAACAAAAGACAGTAAATCTGCTTCACATTTTGATGCAACTGGATGATTTTCGGTGGTCCACACCACAAAAAAATTAAAAGAAATTCTCAGACAGCAGTATCGAGCTAGACTGAAAGTTGTTCACGTTGGATCGAAGGCTTCGGCGGGGCAAACACTGTGAGACTGACACCACAGTGCAGTGGTGGTGGTGATGGTAGCTATCACTGCAGTCCTCGAGCCCTAAGGTCTGAAGTTCGAATCCTGCCACCACCAATCGACTTTAGTGCCGTTCAACTCAATACCAAACATATCCCAGAGAAGCGTTACTTGGTTCAACCCATTACGAATCGCCGGGCTTAGAGTGCCGATTACCATGACTTAACAGGTCCTTTTGACTGCTATTCATTAATTAAGGGTGCATGATAAGAACGTCATACGTGAGTCAGTGATAAAGAAGCATAACTTACACATTGTGAAATCGAATCACGGCTGAGAACGGGCACAAGTTTAACCGAACGGAACTTTCAAGACCACTGGTTCGCAGCCACTTTCCAATTCTAGGATGAAGATTAATTTGGGATTGAAAGAGCTGGAACCCACTTGGAATTGCGAAAGCTTCGACCTAAACAACCGACAACCCAGGTCAGTGCAAGTGAGATGAAAAATGTGACACATCTGTCATGTGAGACCGGATTAGCATGAGAATATGTAGAACTCACCTGCAGGGGAAAAATATGAAATAGCGTATGAAAAATCCCAAAACCCAAACCGCAAGCAACACGTTTAGGTGATCTTTTCTGAGCAGGAGATTTATTCGGTGAGATTGTATGTGATGACCTACTTCATGTACACGTAACTTTGATTGCGGCTAAGAAAATTCCACACTCGTAGTTCGGCCGCTGTAAACCGTTTTGTGACCGAGTCCTCGATAATGGCCTGATGAAATATGTGGACAAAAACAGGAGAGATGAATTGAAAAAAATACTTCATTCAGATTTGAAAAGCTCGATCTTAAAGACAAACAAAAGCTGGTCCTACAACGTGCTCATTCTGTTGGTTAAAACGTGGTACTAAGACGTTACAGGATACTACAAATCGATGGTTAACAATCGGCCAACTTTTAGTTACCATTCAAAATAAAACATCGGTTTTTTAAACAAACTCGAGTCTGTTCTTTAGTTGGCTACATTCGGTTGTGCAAATTCTGCCAGAGTGAACAATTTGTCTTGATTACGGTCAACAAAATCCGAAAATTGTCTTATGCATCACTCTCTGGACCACATAAATAATACCGTCAACGAACATGAGTTTGGTTTGTTTTCAATACAACTGATTTGTGCACGTCATATTTCGAATGACAGAGGATTTCAGTATTTGAAGCATTTTACGACCTGATCGAAGCATACACGACCAGTATGGAGCTCAGCCTTCCTAGGTTAGCTCTTCACGCGTATTGTACAATCTGCGGAGAATGAAGAACTGCAAAAACTTTGAGGCCGTTACGATTAGGCTTATATACTTGTTATTGGCTGTCACTGTACAGACCCCTTCTACTGTTTCAATGGGATGAATGTGTTCTTTATCCGGATAGCGATACTGTCTACCGTCAAAGTTAGGTGACAGTGGCCAGGTTTGAACGCTATGCTCTGCAGATAGATGTACCTACCGTGCTCCCCTTCGAAAGAAAACTGTTGGAACCAACCAACTTTGTGCACCCGTGGGAGACCTTACACTTGAGGGACTTTCTCTAGTGCATTCCTAGCTTTTTTTCTATCCATCTCCATTCGGTGCATTTATTGCATGCACTTGTCTGTTGAAGACTTTTACAGTTGCTTAGTTTGTTTCGTCTTCCCTGTTGTAGACACTTTTGACTGAAATGTAAACTCTAGGCCTACGTAAATTATAATAAAAATTTAAAGTTATTTTAAATTGTACTCTGTATAATACCCCTTTTCACTCACTCATCATTTCTCTATCCGCACTTTTAGAAAATAACACCTGTACATCTTTTACACATATGGTACTTCAGCATGACTAATGCGCCAGACGCTTACTGAATACCCTGGTGTCCAGCGGATTTCTACTGTAGCCATTGATGTATTGTATCCAAGATACTCGCATTCAAGACTCCAGTTCCATTAGCCAATTGACATCCCCATCAATCCAATCGGCGAATAACTTATGCCGCTCTGGGGACCCTGAGACTACCACATCTGGTCTTTCTGACATCGGTGTGCCTCAGAGTGACAGCGCTGAGGCCGCGGTCCCAGAATGATTTCCATTCGACAGTAGGTTCTGCGCAGTGAGAATCAGAGGTTCGTGCAAAGTAAACAGCCGTCGTCCCGATAGACGAAACCTGTCAATCATGTCAGCGTACGCTCAAACGGACTGCAACCTAGATGCAGTCAAAGATGAATTTTACCAAGAACCACATGACCCCTCGCGTAAAGCGAGCCCAACTGATATGGTGAATTTAGCAGCGGATATGAATGCTTTCTTCGAGTGAGGCTCATCTGGAAGGTCCTTTCGGACTAGATTCCTGTCACTCGGAAAACAGAGAGCGAATGTTGGCTTTATGTTCCGACAGCCGCCCATTCACCGCTAGTACGAAAGTCAGACGACGCAACTGCCCGTACGCAACCTGGCATCCGACCTCCTCGAGTTGGCAACGAGCGCAGATCGACTACATCGCCATAAACCACAAATGGCGGGGTTGAATAAAAGACTGTCGACCGTACTCGAGCACTCCCTTCGAATACGAGTTTGCATTAGTTTACGACAAACTGTCCATGTGTTCCGGAGGGCGTTCTAAGCGCAAGACAGAACGACGATTAAACTGTGATAACCTAACCGGACCAGCTCGTTTGCCTTTCCAAATGCGCCAACTTAAAAGTTGGAATAAACCCCATCCAATAACACCGATTAGCGCAGGTCACTTAGCATGAATACTGTGACATGTGTCAACGTCGATTATGCCATCACTCTATTCTCCGTCTCACTCTCTGAACTATACGTGTTCTGTGTTTTGTCCTCCGGGCTAACTACGGGTTAACCTAATTGAGACTGTAACAAATACTCTGCATTTTAGTGAACTAGTTGGCTGTAGTCGGACACGTCGTGCCGCGAGATCCTAGATTTCTGCGAAGTTTCCACGCCTTCTTGACACACGCCGATCAATCCTGGTGGAAAGCGAGCATATTGGAGTATGATTCAGTTCAGTTTGTACAATCATTAACCATGCACTATCGTGCGCCGGTTTTGGTTGCTATCTTTCGGCTGCCCATTTGGATGAACATTAGGAGAAAGACAGGAAAAATTGAAAGCAGGATCGAAAAAAATCGAGAAAATTCGAAAGTTCAGGGGATTAATTTGCACGGAAATTGACAAAATACACGAACGCCACTGTTTACGACACCCAGCCATATTACTCAATGTCTTTAACCATCGGTTACGATCATCCCGGGGTACCCAGCCAGGGAGCCTAACGGAACCTACGTGACCCAGAATCCTGGTTAGGGTTTTCATACCCTAGTGCCAGGTCCTAGCTTAACCCTGGGCTTTATTCCACCCACAACTTACCTCGGTGAACATCGCTCGCCGTGGCAACCCATCTGGTGACATGCGTAACACATGCCCAACCACCGTAATCTATGGAGGTCGACCACTTGCCCCAGTGGGCGACCGCGAATACCTAAATCTGCGCCTGAACTCAGCATTTCTCGTTCGGCTGCCCCACCAGATTCGTGCAATACTGCGTAGACACCGATGTTTAAACACCGACAATCTATCTTTGTCCTGTTTTCTTAATGGCCAAGTTTCTGCTCCATATAGCAGAACTGGCCGAACTGCTGCAGTATACACTCGACCCTTAACAGAGAGCCGGATGTCGCGACGGCACCACAGATGTCTCAAGTTAGCAAATGCCAACCGAGCCTTCTGTATGCCAGCTGACACTTCATCTGTGATGCGTCCACCGGGTGAGATGAAGCTGCCCAAATAACAAAACTTATCCACCTGCTCTATTAATTCCTCAGTTAGAGTGAGGCTGGGTGCTGGACCAACCCAGTCTTGTAGTAGCATTTTACACTTTAAAGGTGCAAAACGCATACCGAACATGTCTACACTAGCACTCAAACTTTCCAGAAAAGCTTGTAACTTACCTGGATCTTCACTTAGTAGAACAATATCGTCTGCATGGTCTAGATCAGACAGCCTGCCACCTGGGAGTAAATCGATGCCACTATCCTCGCACGAGGACAGGGTTGTTTCCATAATCAGGTCTATGACAAAGTCAAATAGAAAAGGGGAGAGATGGTAACCCCGTCGAACACCACTTTCCGTGGTGAACTCGGGTGAAAAAGTGCCGTAAGCTCGGACTCGTCTTCGGCTATGAGTATAAAGGGATCCTAATATTGCAATAAACTTCTGGGGGCAGACCTTTCAGGCAGCGCCGCAGGCTAGAGCGGTCAACTGAGTCGAAAGTCGCTTCAAGATCCAAGAAGATAGAGATAATGGGTCTACGAAAAGAATATCTGTGCCCCAGAGTTTGGCGAAGAGTGAAGAAGTGGTCGATACAACCTCGACCAGGTTTAAAACCAGCCTGGTTCTCATGAATTCACTCTTCGCGTGCGACAGACAATCGACGGAGTATGATCCCAGCGGCAAGTTTAGAGACGATGTTGATTAAACTAATTCCTGTGGTTTTCACAAGAGGATCTGCCACCTTTCTTGTAAATCGGTATGATGACCCATTCACACCATTCAGCTGAAACCTGTTCCCTCTCCCACATTGAGCTTAGGAGTTTCGTTAATTCGGAAACCAATGCTGAACCTCCATCCTTAAAAACGGATGGGGAGAGCCCGTCTGGGTCGGAGGCATTATGTCTTTTGAGATAGCTTATTTCCCTTGAAACCTCCATTTCTGAAGGAGGACTGGCATCGACTGGCAGAATTTGCCCAGTTGAGCCGGAGGGTGGTAGCTAAGATGTCGATGGGGGCCAGTTGAACTGAGCCTGAAATTTTCAGCCCATCGAGCAAGACGGCGTTGCTGATCGTGAATCTGTGTGCCATCGGATTCCTTAATTACCTCACTTACGCTTATTTCCCTAGGACTCGTATTCCTAACCAGACGGGAAAAAATTGCGACTATTACCAACAGCTGCAGCCTTTGCCATCTATCTAAACTCTCCTATCCACCACTTCTCGCGGTCATTCCTCAGACTCTTGATGAGCTGGTGTTTAAGGGATTTGGGCGCTTTGTCGTATCTGACAGCAAGAGGAATTGCTTTGCGAGCATCCGGCGTGGCAGCCAAGTTTGAGGAGGACCATCGTTTTTGCTTCGACCGTGCGCAAAAATCTGCTGTTGTTTTAATTGACAATTGCATCGCTTGCTTGATTACTGGCCAGTGTTTACTGAGTCCTTCAGCTAATGGTTGAGCTGAAAGGTGATCAGAGAGTTCCGCTTTGAAGGCCGATTTGCAATTGGCGCTGGCATTGCATTGTGGAAATCCATTTCCGGTGACCTCTAGAGTTGTTTACCAGACGTAGGGAGAATCTGGCGCTTACTAGAGCATATTCCATGTCCACAAGCATTAGCCAGAGTGGCAGTCTTAAAACTACCCCCTCCAGCAGTAGCTGATGGCGATGTGATCGATTTGAGACCATTGCTGTGAAGAGGTTGGCGGTTTCCATGTAAGGCGACATATTTTCTTGTTAGAGAAGTTGGTGCTTGACAGGAACAGTCCGTGGTCAGTGCAGAGTTGGAGAAGCGTTCTCCGTTGTCCGCCCGGTTGGTTGGGATTGCATGAGTACCATCAAAAAACCTGTTTGATTCTTTCATGGATCCAGGCATTACAACAATGTCCGTTGGTAGATAAATTGGCAGCAGTTGATAGAGGTCCTTGTGAAATTCATTCATTTCTGGCGAACTAAAATCGGTCGAAGTAGGCACCGACGCCTCGTTCCATAGCTGTTGACTCGTGCTGAACCATGCAGGCCAGAATCCAGTCAAGAAGTGAACGCATCTAGAGACCTGTCACGAAAGATCTTTTGGTTTCGATTCAGTGTCTTGTTCGCTGATGCATTGATTGTCGGTTCGGTATTCAGGATCGTCTCTTAGTTTCATGCACCCAATGAGACAAACCAATAGGCTAAGGGCTGCCCGGCTTGGGCGGGCGGCAGCTGTCTGATGAAGTGCGAAAACTTCTCCCACCGTCGGGAGGAAGCCCCAGGTACCCCACTACTACGTCTACCTAGTGGGGTTATTTTGATCGGTATACTGCCCGTCCCTTCCCCCGTGTTTACTTGCTGGATTGAACTCTCGGGGGGTGAGTGAACAGATAAGAAAGTCAGGTGCCCAAGTAGCTGACCTTGAAACTGAGCTCCGTTTGGCTTACATCCGGTGACCTTTCAGGCATGATGGAATCTGGTGCTGTGAGGAGCTCTAATGTACAGCTCACAGGGTCACGGAGGGGTGCAAGCCATTATATTACGTTAAAGTGCAGCCTCGTTGTGATCGCCGTAATTTTGAGAGCGAAGTCAATCGTTATGGTTATTCTCGAGACGTTTCAGAGATGGAATAGATCCCTCCTGGACACGACTCGGGCTGGAAGTCAACAACAATTGTTTACTAATACGATAGATATACTTATAACTGATCAGTGTGCCCTCATGATTACAGGGTTTAGCGCGTCTGTTCTTTACTCAAAAGTCAGTAAAAAAGAGAGATGTGTTAATCAGCAAATACTCGCAAATAATTTAGGATCAAATTACTAAACACCACAATCATGCGGTTTTATTTGACCAACATCCTGACAAACTATGTACTGCAATGACTGGCTTAAGCAAAATTTGGACATGGCGACATAAGGAATCAATAAAGGAAAGACAACACTACTCACTTCTATTCCGCATTTGACGAGGTAAGATGGATGATGCAGCTTGAATCCTTTTTTCTCGTTATTTAAAAGTTCGGTGTTGACGCGCATCCCTCCCTCCGTTAGCTGTATGTCACGCTCGATCAAGTCTTCATCTATATCGGGAGCTAGAAAGACCTAAGAACGGACAAATACCGTAGGTCTCGAAAGTTTCGTAACTTTCACAGCGCGCATTTTCGAAACTGGTGGCATGATCTTCGGCAATCACTGTTGTTGCATACTATATAGTGTTTTATTGCTAAGGTAAAATAAACTTACTGAGAATAACCGATCGAGAACATAGATGTAAAATCTCTGTACAAGCTGTATCCGGAATATCGAACAAAATAACGAGTTAATGAAAAACCCGAAGATTATCGAAGGGTAAAACAGAGCGACCAAAGATAGTAACATTTGGAAATGCACTAGGTCGACAATAAGGGGCCCGGCCGACCTTGAAAGGTCAGTTCAGTTCAGTTCAGTTCAGTTCAGTTCTCCCAGTACGAATTGTTGCTCTTGCCAATCGCGCGTCCAGTTCTTTGTGTTGTCGGCGGTTTCGTTG